GGCATGAACTTCCAGTTTATCATTTTCGCCCACAGATGCCTGCTTCCTCTATTGAGGCTTTATTTGGGTCCAACCATCCTCATTTCTTCTGGTGAAGAAAAAGAAAAAATACCAAAACACACCAGAACTTTATACCCATATCATCCATCCCAGTAACGTTTATTGTCAGACTCCTGAATGTCAGGAACACAAGCCTGCAGGCTCCAACACCTTCTGCATGAGAGAATAAACAGATGCACATTCTCTGCTGGGATCAGTCGTCCTACCAAAGGCTTCCAGTCATCCCCTTCAGACACAGCAACAGGGAGCTGAGGTCTCCGAGAAGGTGTAATGCCAAACCCCACCCTCTCCTGCACTACACGTACTGCTCTACTCTCCACTAGGCCAAACTACAGTACAAAAGCAATCCCAGACTGTATATCTACACCGTGTGTACTCCTGTGCCAACCCAGTGCATTCACCCCACCCAGCCTTCCTCAATCCAAACCAATTCAGCTCTCATGGGCTCAGTGTGCACGGCTCCTATGAGCAGGGTCACGGTTTCTTCCTGCAAACACACAGCTGCACTCCGTGCACGTGTTCAGTGTGTCAGCCCTGCCACATGCTGAGCACCTGTAAAAGACATCACCCTTGGGACAGTGTAAAATTCCCCTGACAGGTAACTCTGGGGAAGTCTGAGTACGAAATAAAGGTGCAGCAACTATTTTTACTCTTCATGTGAAACCAGGGAGGTCAGAAGTACCAAGGCAATTGTACCAGTAGGACTGGGCTTGATGCACTTGCCACTTACATGATATGAAGAGCACATCTGTTGTTCATGGGAAGAATGGGCCTATGCTTAAGACAATAACTTGGTTATCAATTTAATTCACTGCTCTATGTCCAGCTTCCTATGTTAGCGTCAGTAAAGCACTTCGACCTACATGTAAAGTGGTTCAAAGCTATAAATCCTCTTAATGGTGTTTTCTGTAAGAACACTCATGTAGAAACCATAGAGGCTCAGGAACAGTGCATCACTGCAGTTCATCTGTGGTCCCCAGCACAAGATAAGCCTTACATCTGTGTTAGGAACAGGAACACACCACCTTCAACTTACTTTTCCTGTGGTGTGATGTGCCTCCACACAAGTGTTACTATTTAACTGCCAAACTCTTGCTTCATTTAGACCTTTATCTAGCACACATGGATAACAGAGAAAGAAAAATACGTCAGTTCCTGCAACTTGTTGCCCCAAGCAAAATCAAGGCAGCACAGCATATGCCATAAAAATTTTCTAGCACAGTCCCAATCCCTAGTTTCTGTGTTTCACTTTCTTGAAAGATGATGCTTTCCCAGAAGAAATGCTAGTTATTGGTAAAAGCAAGTATGCAGCCTTAGGTACTAACCCTTTGAGTCACACTCACCATTTCTGGGTGGGTTTTCAGGACTGTCCGTTTGTTTTTTAACAACGCATGGCTTCATTTTTCTCATCACTGCACTGAATACATACCCCGACCAGATCAACTCTACCAGAAGCAATGCAACTGCATAACACCCAGACATTTTTAAAGCATGTTTTCCCCTCTACTCACTCATTGTGATCATTTTTAAGAACCCCTTGATGCTGATTTAACAAACAGAAAGGTGGCACTGAAAATGTTAGTCAGCCAGCTTTCAATGTTTTCTCCCTCCTATTTGCTCAAATGAGATGATGATAAACCTCTTTCAAGATGGACAAAAGCTGATTAAGGCACTTTAGCCTCAATGTGTGTCACAAGGTGCAACAACAACAAAACAAAAAGTAGCAATAGAAGCTTCTCACTTAAGCTACAGCCTTAGTAACTCGCTACCTGGGTGTTTGCCATATGCACGCTCTAGCAGGCATAGCACTTAGTGCACCACACAAGCAGCTGCAGTTTATTTTTCAACATCTTGTTCTACAGCTGCAAGAGCTCCACTCTCATCAACTTTCTACCTGGAAATCCTTAGCACTTTTCTCTCAAAACAGATTTCACAAGCACATGCCAGACCTCTACCCCATATACGTTTTTGCTGCAAGAGTTCATTATTAACAGCAGACTTTGTTTCGAGTAACTTGTAGTTGGGCAACTGTTTGCTATTTGCACTAAAAAGAGGGATCATGCTTAAGGACAGGCTCTCCATACAGCAGCATTTTGGAGATCCACCCTCAAATGTGGGAATAAACCTAAAATACAATTTTCCACTTACACTGCACCTCTCAAAGAATAAAGCATGTTTTTTCCCCTTTCTCATGAGTGGTGATGAGCTGGTGTTAGATGCCA